TACTTACCGGGATTGGGACTAGAGTCAATAACAAGGGCTATCTCTATCAATATTTTTTGTGAAGGATGGGTTCACGTGAAATAAAACATACATGAATTGTTTGCAGAAAAATTTATTCATTTATTGATAAAATATGCTGAAGTTGGCGACCTTATACTCGGCACCTTTTAAGAAAATACGCTTTTAGAGATCTTAAACTCAACTGGGCTATCTCAGCAGCAGCTCCATTTATTTATAGTAGAAAAAATCGATTGGCGATCGAGCAGGCCATGTGATTGGCACGTATCGTCCAATCCATCGGCGAGGATAAGTTTCGTCTAAATGAGCCCTTACTTCACGCCCGTAGTGAGCAGGACATCCGTCATTTTGCTGCCATAGTCTTCGCCGCAGGTTTAAGGGTACATCTTGTAAAAGAGTTGAAAGCCTTTCCTGAAGGAATTTTAAATAACTGTGGGAGTTGAGCGTTGGCGGCAGTTCCACAGGTCCCAATATCTGACAATTAAAAATACCGCACCATAAATTTATTTTGTACTGGTACTGCGAACGATCTTATCTCATTTCGTGAGGACTGTCTATCTGCTAACTGTGAAGGTTATGTAAATTAAAATAACTATCAAGTTTGTATGATGATTCATCGCTCCAAATTATTTTATTTAAAAAGTTGGGGTCTGAATCATGCAATCGCATCATTTCACTGCAAAATCTAACCCTCGACAGGTAATCTCTCTCTTGTAGAGCCTGAACACGTTGAATGTGGTAAGGAATGGTATTTTAAAGCTTTGTGAACTGTAGTTTTTGGTATTCCAGTCCGTCTTTCCATCATTCTCCCTGAAGTCGATGGACCTAGTTCCACTTCCTCTAACACAACTTTAACATCTACCGTTGCAGGACGTCCTGTCTCGCCGCCAAGCCTTCCAGGTATGCGACCTTAAAAAAGTTAAAAATGATAGTCAAAAGAAGAATGGCTTCAAACAAGAAAGGTGTAAAAATCACTTAGCTTCATATATTTATCTATGGTTCCGGGCGAATACTTCACGGCCCGGATGCCGACGATTGGGGTATCGCTCTGCATAAAGTCTTTGAGCAGCTTTGGCATTACAGCAAGCTTCACCGTAAATTAGGTGAATATCCGCATATTCATGCGACGTATATTGCGTGTTGTCTGTCATAGTATTAATAACACAATGTTCGAAGGGTCCAATTCCACAAAATCCACTTTCATTATTTCCTTTACCCATAAAAGCGGATATAACTTTTTTTTTCTATACAAAACAGTAAGTGTGGCACCTCTCTGAAATATCTATTAAATGAGCAATTTTTTTATGTAATGCAAAGTAATAGCTCAGTACATTTTTTTTTTCACCAGACATAGTCAAAATTGGGAAAGAAAATATCAAAAAGTTAAAAATCGCAATATAGTCCTAATTTTATAATGGCTCCTTAATATATTTTAACTACATTGCACTTGAGTATGGAGAAGCAACTATCTGAAAGTATATTACATAAAAAATTTACTAAGTATAGCCTTTTTTGTAGATGCAGTTAAAGAAAATACATGAAAAGGCACGATTTTTCTTTAATTAAAAAAAATTAAATATTTCAAAAACGGTGACACTTTTACCTGAAAATTTGTTGTTTGTCAGAGAGCTCACCACCGCACCTGCCTTCTCCTCAAGTTTGGTTACTTCTGGGACACACTCTATATTAAAAACATTGCTGGAAAACCTTAAAATGTTTGCATGGAACCATGGCGCAATAAACAGGTGAAGTAATAGAACAGCTTTCTCGCTTTATTTTCTGTCATTCGGTTGCCTTATAGTCAAATTTTAAAGGCAATTTTTCAAATAAGGCAGTGTCAAAATCGTTTTCTCGCTCTAATTACTTCACCTGGTATAATTCCGCCACGGCATAGAACAAACAATAGTTGCCGTTCCTGTTCGCCGCGTATTACACAGATAATATCGTTTTGAGTTTTATCTTCAGTTAAAATTTTTGCATTATCATCACTGGTTTCACCATATCCGAAATGTGGACTTCGTTTACGAAGACGAAGCGAACATGTAGTACGAAGTAGTGATGTAAAAATATGTAAAATTTTACCTACTCTCAGACTTCTAAATTTGAACGTATACTCGGTACAAACAGGTGCGATGAATGGCGCAATAAACAGGTGAAGTAATAAAACAGCTTTCTCGCTTTATTTTCTGACATTCGGCTGTCTTATAGTCACATTCTATAGGCATGTTTTCAAATAATGCAGTGTCAAAATATTTCTTCTCACTCTAATATTACTTCACCTGGTTAATTCCACCATGGGTGGGGGCATGCAATAACACCATACGCAATAATTCCCATTACTTGAACATTAAAAAGCAGTTTAAGAAGTGAACTAGTGTCATTTCATTATTATTCTTTTTTCTAATGACAGCAGTGCATAATTGCGAAAGAAGGGGAGGGGACGGGGGGACAGAGGACGCGAGCGCGACGTCGAACACTGGGCACTTTCAAAATTGTATACTCACAAAATCCGTCCATTTAACTTGTTCAGGTACTACTTTTTGTCAAATGTAACTGGGTGACTACCTACATATGTGCACTATTTTGCTTTATTACTCAATAGTTAAGTTTAAAAGTTAGTCTTATTGCTCAAAGAGAAATGAAATAAAGCAAATTTGTGTTATTTCACATTAAATTGGGAAATAGCACAAATTTGCGTTATTATCATTCAACCGTCTAGGTCCCCATATAATAATCCAACTTGGGTTGTTGATAAGGAATACACTTCAGAAAATTAAACCAAAAAACCATCGATGATAAATATCCTATCCCTAATGTAACCGCAATACTATCAAACCTATGAAAGGGCATATATTTTACAACATTTGACCTAAAATTAGGGATTTCACCAAATAACGCACGCAGAGACGGATAGAGAGAAAACGCGTCATGTAATTCACTTCACAGATAAGGAGAACCTTATCGGGGAAATAAAATTAGCTGTTAACCCAAATAAATTAAAAGCAATACATTGCAATTTACCCGCATTGGCCAGCATAATCGAGCTCACAGAGCAGCTCAGGAGAATGTTAAACAAATCCTCGCAAATTGTAAAATTTGTGGTAAGGCCAAATACGATAGGCATGCTCGTAAGCAGGAACTTGGTGTAACTCCAACGCCATCTTATACCGGGAAATGCTGCAAATTGACATCTTTTCGACAGACAAGTACTTTCTTATCTGTCTGAACAAATTCTCAAAATTTGCGCTGGTACAGCCTATACCATCTCGAACAATTGTAGATATAAAAGTCCCAATTATTCGATTAATGAAGATATTTCCAAAAGCAAAAACTATTTATTGTGATAATGAGGCCTCTCTGAATTCTGAAACGATAACCTCACTATTACAAAATCATTTTGATGTCGTAGCACTTCGAATGGGCAGGTTGAATGCCTCCATAGTACGCTTTTGGAGATAGCAAGATGCTTAAAACTGGACAGAAAAATTAATGAAACGACCGACCTTATATTACTAGCAAAAATCGAGTACAACCGAACGATTCACTCGATGTACTTCACACCACACCACCTGAGATGAGATGAGAAATGAGATAAGCACGAAAATAACGGAGGCCCAACAAGCACAAATGGATAAGAATAACCCTTCCGGACCGAATACAGAAGACAAACAGAAGACTCGGGAATAAGGTGTCCCCTTTATATGTTGAGGAAAAAGTTGAGGTGGACTTAGGAACCACGGTTCTCATAAAAGGGAGGGTGGTCGATAAGGACAATCTGAAGTAGGAAAAAGGTCTTTGCTTTCTATACTTCTGCATTTTACAACTCCTTTAATAGTTTAAAGTAAATTAATTAAGGTTCCTTTCCCATCATCTTTTAGGATACTAATTATGATACACCTCATTCGAACGGCGACTGCAAAGCTGACGGACTACTCGACCGCTGCTTACATACCGATACAGGACGGGGACGTGACTGTTTGGCAGGACTTAAGCTATCTAAGGCATACCACTAACCTTATAGTTTACAAGGAAATAGTCGAGGAAACCAAAATACTGGCAACGCATTTCCCTATATCCCATATGAGAATGCTACTCGACTCAGATATTGCACATATAAAGGGGCTTTTTACAACGCTGGACATACACGACAGACAGACTAGGAGCATTAACCTTTTAGGTACAGGAACACCTGACTTTGACGACTTCGAAAACCTGAAGTTCCGACAACGGGAGCTCGTAGACTCAGAGTGGCATCAGGTAGAAATAAACACAAGGTACAAGAAAAGATACAACAACTAACGGAACCGCATTATTAAAAACTCAAAAACTAAGCAGATTGATACTAATTATTTGTAAGAAACGCTGCTTGCAAGAAATGAAATTACACTGTAGAACAAATTCAGGTTAGCAAAAATTAGGTAGATTCTGAGAGTGAGGGGTGAAAATAGAGGCTAAATTAGAAGACCCGTATCGCGGCGTTTGTTTATGTTAGTTCGATTTTTTTTTTAATCGACCTTCGAACTTTGCAGTCAAATGCAATAAATATCTTCCCCTTCTTCCTCTTTTTCTCGTCTTCCTCTTTTTTGTTTCCAACCACCGCACAGGTAGCGATTTTTATTTATTTCGTTTAAGCGAACTAATATCAAAAATAAAGATTTAGTTAAGACTCGAAACTCAGCCGAAGCTGATGTCTTTTAATTTTCGCTCGGTCGTGATAAAATTCGCTATTAATTTTTTTAGAACTTATTTCATTTTGTGAGTGATTTAAGTTAAGTGCATCGGTTTCATAAAAATAACAAAAACAACATTTTATAATATATATTGTATTAAAAATGTAAAATGGACCATTTTTGTAATATTTGTGGACGTTTCATAACAAGCGATGAAAAATGTGGCAATGCGAGTGATTGTTTTTTGGAAGCCTATAAACAGTATTTCTCGCAAGAGTTTATCATTGACGTAAACTATGCCCCTAAAAAAGTTTGCTTTACTTGCTATTCAAGTATTATGCAATTGAAAATTGAAAAGAAGAAGGCTATGCCTTTTGGTATACCAATGATGTGGTTAGACAACAGCCCGCATCAACAAGAAAATTGCTATGGATGTATCAACTACCATAAAACTTTGAATAGAAGGAAAGCAAAGAATAAAACTTATGTAGCAGTGCCAAGTGTCCAATTACCATTACCGCACTCAGAATTCGTTCCAGTACCAACATACCGAAGTATTGATCTTCAAACAGATATCAGTACTACAACCGCCGCTGCTATATCCATGCATTTCTTCTCAGAATACGACCCTGGTGAAGGTACATCCTATGAAACATCAAAGGACCCAATCCTAGTCACACAAAAGCAATTGGATGCAATTGTTGCAATTTTGTATTTGACTCAGAAAAAAACAGAACAACTGGCTTCTTTTTTGAAAGGAAATAATTTGCTGGCGAAAGGTACCAAAGTAACAGCATATCGAAAACGCCAAAAAGAGTTAGAAAAGTTCTTCAATGTGAATGATGCAAAAAATTTCGCTTATTGCAACGAATCGAAAAGTTAATGGAGACGATAGGGTTAGCCTATAAAAAAAGATGATTGGCGTTTATTCATCGATAGTTCACTAATCAGCTTAAAAGTTGTGCTTTTGCACAAGACGAATAGAATGCCTTCTGTTCCAATTGCGTATAGCACTGACACTAGGGAAAATTTCGATAATTTGAAACACATTCTGGAAGTAGTCAAATATAACGAACACCAGCGACCTCAAAATAATTTCATTGATTACAGGCTTAACAGCATCTGGCCGTCCAAAATATCCGTGTTTTTCGTGCGATTGGGATTCACGATACGGAGAAGGTATTAAAGGGAGAAACCAGTACAACCAGCATAACTGGAATAGTCGCATTGGACGGAAATGGCCTAAAGACAATAGGCTACACGAAAGTCTTGTTCATGAAATGAAAATTTTGTTGGCGTTGCTCCACATTAAACTTGGCATTGCTAAAAATTTTTTGAAATGTATCGCAAAAAGACCAGCAGTATTCAACCGCTTAAAAGACATTTTCCCAAGACTAAGTAACGCCAAAATTCAGGAAGGGGTTGTTAATGGTCCCGACATACGGAAACTAATGAGTCGTCAAGATTTTGACCAAGTTCTGACAGACCGAGAATTAAATGCATGGCTCGCATTGAAAGCAGTCATTAAAGGACTTTTGGGTAAAGAACGCAAAGTCAACTACAGGCAATCTGTTGCAAACATGTTGGCAGCTTTCGATGAAATTGCATCAGCATCTTGATCAACTCGCTCAACAACGAAGAAGGCAAAGATGAAATTACGGAATATCTGTTGGACGAAATTATCGACCTTTCTGATGCTGATGACGATGACCAAGATATTAGAGAGAGCAGTGATGTTGATCCACAACCGCCTGCTAAACGGCAACTAGCCAAATCATTAAATTAATTTATTTAATTTTTTTACTTAAAACTTTTTATAACTAACATTTAAAAATTATATTTTTTCCCATATTTTTATAATTTATTTTTCAATGTTTCTTCAAAACCAACACTGCAAAAATTGGAAAATTAAGAAATCAGAAGTAAATTAATATTAAGCTGGAAAACGCAAGTTTTGTATTATGATTGTTTTCTTTTCAAATGAAATTTATTGAAGAAACTGAGAAGCATATTATAGATCAAACAGAAACAAACAAAACTTAGTTTTGTGGAAAATATGTTCAAAAGGCATGAAAAAAATTCCAACAATTTGCTTCATAAGCATTACAACAATTTTCTAAATCAATTTTTTTTTTTATTTTAATTGTTGCACAAGTCTCTAGCAATAATTTGGCTTTAACAGATTGAAAAAATATCAATTAGTCGACGAGTTATAGCCAAAAAACCATATAAACAATATGCTGAAAATCGGCATTTGACTGCAAAGTTCGAAAGTCGATAAAAAAAATTCGAACTAACATAAACAAACGCCGCGATACGGGGTTTCTAATTTATCCTCTATTTTCACCCCTCACTCTCAGAATCGACCTAACTTTTGCTAACCTGAATTTGTTCCACAGTGTTATTATAAATGAAATCGAAACTTTAATTTTGCAAAGATAAGTATAATAAATCCCTGGATGTTAAACTCAGATGACAAAAAAAACATTATTGATATGCGCTCTACAAACACAACTATTACTGACTTAATGGAAGTATCATATATTAAAGTCCTATTAGATAGTAGCCTTTTAAATTTTTTAATTAAATATCCTAAGCCTGTATTAGTCTGTACGAAAATTATTGTTTTCCCTGTTCTGCACAACGGAACAATCCTGCACCTTGAGAACGACAACAACGTTGCCGACTGTCAGAATCAAGTTATGGCGATTGGGAATCGCAGCGCAACACTTACATCAACATTTTACAGAAGGCTACCAAATCCAACGTGCGCGCAGCAGCTCCATTCTGGTAACGTCGCCCACTGCAGCACTCGCCCTAGCCACCTTGGGCCATTTACGGTGGTCGACGATGGCATAGTCAATATTAACGATAATACCGCTTCGATCACGACTAGCACAGGCTCCGAAAAGACCGTTACAGGAACTTATTTACTTACCTTTGAAGATGACATTCGCATTAATGGATCTTACTTTAAAAACCATAAGGGCATGTTGAAGAAATTACCATATTGAGTCTTCCATACTTTCGAAGGATAAGTATGGAAAACCTGCGTGTTATTGGAGAAATTGAATAAAAAACTCTGACAAGACCAACAATATCAGGTCTCGCTATCATCATCACCCTAATTGTCTGTTACCCTCTAGTTAAACTATGCCAAAGGAGAAAAAGAAGACGCCAACGCCACGACCTTCAGGATGTCATTGAAAGCTTCAAAAAGCCAAAGGACGGCCTTCATTTAGAAGGGCAGGAGTTAACACGAGTATCTTAATGTCAACAATAAAAGTCCGCGCGTGGCCTGATTCACCGAATTGCCGTTCTCACGCTGACAGGTAAGGCACAGCACTTTAACAGGAGTAGCCTAATGTCAACGATAAAAGTCCGCACGTGGCCTGATTCACCGAATTCCCGTTCTCACGCTGACAGGTAAGGCACAGCACTTTAACAGAAGTAGCCTAATGTCAACAATAAAAGTCCGCGCATGGCCAGAGTCAGCGAATTCCCGTTCTCACGCTGACGGGTAAGGCACAGCGCTAGCAGCAAACTGTTAACGTAAGCGTCTGCGACACATCCGCTGCAGTGGCTAGAGCAACGAGTTGCAACATAACAACAGCTACAAAAGGTCCTGGTGACTTCTTTAAGCTAAGCTTTAGAAGCTAAGTTTTCGTTTTAGACGAGAACTCAACTGCTACAGTCAATACTTGTCAGATTAATAAAGTAATAATATATAAATTATAACATCGTCGTGTTTATTTGTAAATTAGTCCTGAACATACAGTTTTTTCAATTATCACCGATATTCATGAATTAAGTTATGAAAGGACTTTCAGTACCTACTCGTCCTTATGCGCCAAAAATTTAAACTTTTTTATTCTACAGAATTTTTTATTTTATATGATACCCACACTAATATTCTACATTGCACTAAGTTTTTTAATTAGTCAAATCTCTTGTCAGTCATTTTAGGAAAAATGCTGACGTCACACAGTGGGCTGAAATTGGCAGGTAGGGACTTAGGTCTTTAAATGTGTATTTTCGATCTCTATGATCCACTGTCATAATTTTATGCTATAGCCAGAGTAATTTTTCTCAAAAAAATACAAAAAAGGCGTTAAAGTACAAGTCTTTCTCTTTAAAGTGGCGTTGAGTTTGCTCAAATATCTTTATGCTTTGCTGAGATATTACAATTTTAAGTTTACAGATTTTCCTATTTTTTTATATCTTGAAAATCATGTAAGTAACATAGCGGCCATGTGTACTATCGGCAGCACTTTTTGTTCACGTAAACTTAAAATTGTAATATCTCAGCGAAGCAAAAAGATATTTGAGCAAACTCAACGCCATTTTAAAGAGAAAGACTTGTTCTTTAACACCTTTTTAGTATTTGTTTGAGAAAAATTACTCTGGCTTGCATACACAACTTCAAAAATGGGCAAAAACGGCATTTTTTGCACTTATAGGTTAGAATATCCCAAAATCCTGATGTGATAGAGCAACTCTGTGGCCAGATTTTAATTCAGCGCACCGAAGACCTTCGGTAAAGTATAGTCTGGTTTCTGGGTAAAAATTTTGTAGGCCTATTATTATTATTAAATACGAGTGAATTATGATATATTTGAATAACTAAAAGAATGCGGTAATATTAAAATCCTATTTTTATTGAGCTTCGTACCACGATTTTGTTTATTAGGGAAAAATTGAAAAAACAACAAAGTATAGGCTACAATAAAATTGACAAATGCATAGTTTAGGATGAGCCTGCCTGAAACTATAATACAATAAAGCAAAATTAATGTAAAGAATTAACAATATAGTCAGGAAAAATACTAGTTTACAACTAGAATTTCCTGACAGAAACTGAACTAGTTCGAAAATAACCAGACTTGTACCAAGTACAAAACGATTTATTCATGCCCTGTTTTATTTGACTTCGACAGTTTAATACAATAAAGTACACAAAATATTATAACTTTTATTTGGGTATACTGTACACCATCAAATCGAATACGTATTCAATTATACTACTCCTGTTAAATAATTATTAATATTCATAATGATTATGAATTAAAGCATGTTTTTTTTTGGATAACCGTTTAATGATTAAATGCCGATATTACCACCTTTTTAATGATTAATTACACTGGACCACAAATTTCAACTTTTTCTCTTTACCAGAAACGCCGTTATGAAATTCTTATGTAAAATCACCCCCTGATTCCGAAAATCAAGGTTATTTTTAATTCTATGGTACCGTTTTTGAGATATTTGCAATTTACCGTTTTTGCAAAAAAAAAAAATTGGGTCCACTTTATCATATATATCTCAAGAACGAATTAAGCAATTCCAAAACGGTTTGAAGCTTTTAAAAGGTAATAAAATTTTCTATAAACTGTGCATACAACACTTTTTGCTAGGCCCTGTAGATTCAAAGATAACGAAGAATCATTACCGATTTTTTCAATTTTTTTTTGTAAAAATATAAAAAAAATTGTACTTTGCGGGGAAGGATCTCGAAAACCTTTTATTTTTTTGCAGATTTTTTTTCTCCCTAAGCTCTGTTGTATTACAAAAAAAAATAAGCTATCATCGAAGAAAATCGATGCAAAACTACGTAAGTTATAAGCGATCAAATAAAAATACCCAGGTTGCGCAACTTCAATGTATGTACCTATACATACATACATATATTAAAGGTATAAAGTGCAAGTGAGATATTATCCGGATAAACGAATAACACCATAACAATGATAACACTTTTTCTTTAAATAAATCAAATAGTACTTTTAATACTCGAATTGTATTATAGTAGGTAGAGTGGTTGCATCGAAAGGAAGAGTGGTTGGGTTCGAAACCTGCTGTAGGCATGTAGTTATAAACATGTATTTCCGTCAGTTATGGGTAAGTATGCAGGTAGATTTTCAAAATTATAAGACAGAAAATTTCTAAAGCCTACATCTAAAATAGGTAGTATTTTCTTTTCCCGGCTTGTTATAAAAAGGAACCTTTCTGTCTAGGTAAGATTTGATTTTTTCAATTTTATTCTTGTTCCGAG